CGTAGGCGGCCCACTCTGCACCCAAGCTTCATTGCTTCAGATTCGTTGGGCGCCTGAAGAAGCGCTCAATTCAAGCATCTGGAATCTTGGATAATCAGTATATATTTATATATGGTATCTTAATGTATATTATATATATATATATGTAACATTTATCTGTCTGTGTGTGCAGCTGTGGCACTTGTACATATGACTATGGTGGTGCTTACAGTATAAGGAACAAACCCATCACACGAACGGTCCCCCCAAACTCTGCGATGCGGGTGAGGAGCCGTTCGTGTGCCGAATGCACAGACCCATCCTGATCCCGACAATCGTGGCCTCCGACCATCGTGGCTGGTGACATCGTTCTAGCGCTCTTTCCTAAGAACAACACTGGTTGGTGGTTTCAACGCATTGGACATGTTGGTTCAATATGGTTCAATCAAGTTCCGTCATCCCAAGTAAAGTAAAGGTTTTTCAGCAAACCATCTCTGAACACCATCTGGTGACTCGACGTGACTCTCCACGCTCTGACTCTCCGCGCTCTCGCCTCGGCCAGGGAGCTGCTGCCCAAGACCGCCAGCACCTCGCCCTCGAAGAGGTCCGGCTGCCCAGGCACCTCGGAACAGGGGGAGGCCGAGTCGGAGACATGGGCGGGAGAAGTCGGCGGAGGCTGAGTCGGGCGTCGACATGGACGCCCATGCCACATGGGCCGAGTCGAGCCATCCATCTTGATCTCTCTTCCTCTTCCGGACCCAAACACACCACGCGTCATCTACCCGGTCTGGGTATCTTCTCCATCTCCATCCGTTGGGGGAGAGAAAAAACACGCCCACCCCACGCGCCTCTTCAAAGCTGAAGACTTGAACACCAACGCCTGGGAGCCAAGTGCTCTTCACTCCAGGCACCCCCTGCTCATCCAGCAGCAGCCGAGCAGCCTCGGGGGCGAACGCAAAATCATAACACTATAATACAATGTTGTTGCACAGGTGGCAATCAAGGTACAAGCGCCTATACCATGCCCCATGCTCGCCTATACCATCCTCTGTGCTAACGCCTATACCACGCCAACCCCCCGACTATACTATGCTGGGACGCAGTGTAGGCCAGCAAGAGGCGGTATAGGCTAGCAGCTAGCAACCCTCGACTATACGTCCTTTGGAAGCTTAGGGTATCGGTATTAATAAAGCCCAGCGAGTTCGTGTGTCTTTTTGGGGGGTTCAGGAAGAAACAGGAGAAGAAGCCCAATGGTTTACGATGCAGCTAGTTTCTTCCTGCTTTATGTCTAATATAAAAGTATCTTAAAGATTCAAAAAGTGAGCTTTTTGAGTGGGCTGGCACGGAACTCACACTTGGTGAGTTCTAAGCAGCTTAGCAATTGAGTTTTGAGTCTTGAAACTCTCCGGGAGACAGCACCTTTTGGTGCTTGGAGAATCGTGTGCACTGTGGAAATGCCATGGGGGTACCAAACGCTTTGTTGGCTGGACTCGCAGCTCTTTTGGCATGACGATAACACATCTTTGGAACTTGATGGAACTTGAATTATGATGAATTATGCACCTGTTTAGCACCCGCTCTCAAATACTCACTCCTTGCCTCGCTTCTGTTCAGTGGCAGTTAGTCGTAAAAAGTGGTGAGATTATCCTGTTCGATCTTTTTGTCCTTGCACTCTTAGTAAAACGGCCCATGGATGAATGGAACAGCCACTCCGCTTGGTCTTGAGTACTGCAAGGATCCAAGTAACAGCACGGGAAGAAGAGTAGAACTTGACGTTGCCCTAGCAAAGAACAAACAAACACACAGTGATTATGCATGTTCATTTGGGTCTCTCCTTCTAACCGAACACTCTACGTATGGCATATGCATCACTGGTTGGTTTGAAGTGTCAATGTAGAAAATGGATGATGCAAAAACCTCACCCCAAAGTCGCAGCTTTATCGAATGTTGCCGGGAATAGGATGGACATGGATGGGCCACGATGGATACCGGGTTCCCTTGTCAAGGGTGCTACCAATCTCAATGCGAGTCGTTCGGAAGAGTTCAGTCAAGAAAGCCCCGCCGAGTCTCACCAGTATGTAACTTGGAGACAATGTGTTGCCTTCAAAACATGTTTCTATCGGAACGCTGGGTGGCAAACCTCTACCAGAACCCTCCAACAAGTCACCTGTAATTTTTGACACCCAAACCCTCAAGGGGAGACCCTGCAGGCTCCAAGTCTAGATCAGTCTGAAATGCCAAGCTGCCCGTGGTGTGGCCTGGGCGAAGGGAGTCAATCCAACACCGCGCCAGGACCGGCGCACATTCTAATACCCACCCACGGCCGAGTCGACCGCTGAGTCGTGCAGTGAACTGGGAACCCGACCTTCCCATGCCGAATCTCGGCGTCGATCTATACGAACCGAACGAAGTCCACCTGTTAGAGTTCCAGAAAGGTAAGAAAAAGAAGTACCAGAAGTACGTGGAATGAAGGACAATGAAGGGAACGCCACGTAACTCCCAGCTTTGGAATGTTGATCTCACTTTCGGGAGATCTGACGCTGCGCAAGCAGCCCAGCTTTGGGCACATCTAAGCAGCATTTGACCCTCCCAGTCTGTGCTGCGTGGGGGAAGACTTGGTTTTGCCCAAGGGGATGCATGATGCAAGTGCCGTCTCCAGTATCCTCTATAATCTCTGTAGATATGATCCTGCCAGAATAGCAGAACGGCAATGAGTACCAACTAACCCACTGATCAGGAATCACCAGGAGTTGCGCCTCAAACGCCAAGCTTTTTCGCATCAAACGCCAAGCTTCAGAGCAGCCAGGCGGAAGTGGCGGCGCATCTGCCGATTCGGAAGGGAACGACACATGAAACCAACCAGGGCTCGCCGGGCTCCCCCCCAAGGGATGTCTACAAATGGCACACTCCGTGGATATCGTCCGAGGGTGGTTCAACGGCACAGCTCGCGCCAGCAGGACCAGTACCATCAGCAGTTCAGTGCTTTGAGTGCGAAAACTTCGAGGCACATGGCAATGAATAAGGCCCAAATAGGTATAATAAAATGTTCGCCAAACACCTGTACCACTACAATATCATGTAACATACCTATATAATATGTTTCACACCTTGGCATACCTAAGCAACAAAACAAAGGGTGCAGGACAACCCTCTGAGAAACAAGGCATGGATTCTTTTTAAGGTCCATCCGGAGCGGGCCAAAGACTGTTTTTTTTTCATTTGTGTTCATTGGATCTTCAACAGCCTAACAGCAGGTCAACGCTTGGTCGATGGCCGGTCTAAGGTCCGCGCTGGCCCCGAGACGGAGACGACCCGCGAACGGATCCATGTGGAGGTGCGTCTTCCGGAAGGCGAGTCCGGTGACGAGTGTGAGTGTTTCACTATAGGAAAAACGGATTGAACCGGCCAGGGCAGGAGAAACGCCCAGTTACCTTTGGGAATCATAGAACTGATTTCAGTGCCCAAATACCATATAGATCCATATGCGGCATATGGTATACCGCCAGTTGGTTGGACACGTGGGGGTGTCCCCTTCCCACAAATCAACGACCAACCACTTAGCACAGTATAAAAGGATACAAAAGGGGGCATCGATGCTAAGCAAAGACAGTCAACTCTTGAAACTTGTGAAAAAGGCAGCGGGGGCAGGAACCAGAAAAAGGCAATCAATCGGTCAGCCACCTGCAAGGCTTGTCCAAAAGGGTGGTTCGCCGACCCGAGCCCGCGCCTACCCCCATCGGAAGAGATGGGCGTGGCGGAAGCGCGCCGCCCGAGCGGATGGGAGGTCACTATAAACCCGGGCACTTGCTGAGTCTTGTGTTGCCCATGCCAGCCTGCCCACTGGCCTAAAGCACAAAAAAAGTCCTTGATATTGAGAAAGCTGGAAAAAAGAGGAGCTTGCAGCTTGGAAGGACAACCCTGAGCTTCTGGAATTTCTGCTTCTAGTGTTGCATGTCTGTCCCAGTGCAAGTAATTTCAAGATGTCTCCTCTGATTTTCCATGATTTTCCTATTGAGCTTTGGTGATGCAAAAATATGCAAAACATTGCAAAACCACCACTTGTCCTCATGAAGTCACAATGAAGTCCCAGTCTGCTGTTTTGGACGCCTCTCTTGATGTCACAGCCTTCCACCGTGGAATTGGCTCCGAACTACGAATTGGCTGCGATTCCGGTCGCTTCATCAGGGTTTACGCCGTGCTGTGCAGTGGGCTTGGGTTGTTGGGCTTGGGTTCTTTCCCAAACGCAGAAAGAGCAGCCCGACCGGTTGCAAAAGCTGGGGATTTGAGACCCAACCCCCTCCAAAGGAAAATCCGATACCCCCATCCCCAATCCGATCCCCGGTGAGAGAGCAAACATCAAACGGTCCTTGCGGAAGTCCGGTCGATGGTGTTGGTGGAGAAAAAGGGTGGACGTTCAAGACCACACCCCGAAAGAACGTCCAACTCGGAAGATTCTGACACACACACACACCACTCATGATGACGCCACTTGTCTTGTAGAAACGTAACCACGCTCCGAAGCAGCCTGACACCGCATGCACATGACAACCCCGGCACCAGCACCATTGAACAGTTGACCCTCCGAACAGTCCGAGCGGTCGCTGCTAAAACCGGGGAAGTGGATGATGTTCAACGAGCCCTAGGGCTCCAGTCGTACCTTCTAAGAAGGTGGGACTGGGGTGGGTGCCAGGGTCCAGTCATACCGAACCTGAGGAGGTAGGACTGGAGGTGTAGGGGATTGCTTTGAATGGAGGAATATATGAACAAAGGCATGAACCAATTGACCACATGGACTTCAAACTTCACAAAGTGAAACACTTAATTCGCGTGACCAGTAACTGATACCTATTCCTTCAGGAATCTGACTGAGATGCTGCCAAATGAGCATTGCTGAAAGTTGAATCCCAAAGGACAGCTTAGCCCCTCGAAACCTCCAGTACCTGGAATTGGCCCAAATGGATCCAAACAAAGAGAGTGATCTGAAGCTGTTTCCCCAGCATCCCCATCACCTCCCACGCCACGCAAAGTACCCATTTTCACCGGCGCTAGTAGCGGCTCTTCTGCCACAACCTCAAGGTACTCCGGCTCCCACGTCTGTGGAGGGGTCGTCGGGGACTTGATGGATGTCTCTGAGTCGATGAGGATGGGACATGCAGCTTTTCTGATGACGTCATATCCCTGTCGCTGTTTGGGGAGGGCTTTCTCTTGGAATCATAAGAGCCTCCAAGTCTCTCGTGGGCAGAAACCAGGTGCGACCCGATTTCTGCGGTCAAGTCACTCTTCGGCATATGGCTTCAGCCATGCCGTAGCTCTTTTCAAGCACTTCCTGCCGAGCTGTGCCACATCCCTCCAACAAGAAAGTTAGCAGTTAGAACATGTACTTGTTTGTAGAGGACTAAGAAAAATGTCGATGTTTCTTGGACAACGAGCTGCAAAGTGGTTCTTTCATCGGCTTGCCACCGGATTTACCACGACTTGCAAAAACCAACACCGCACATATTCTCCGGTGTTCGAAGGACCGGATGGTCCGTGACTCACCATGGTCCATGGTCAACTCTGAAACTGAACACAGGAGCCGTTCACGGCCTTGCACCATATTCCACCAGCCAGTTGGGCATGAGGTCCGAGGCATGTGCATAGACCTCAGTACGAGGTCTATGGCGCAAGCTGGCGTGAACAAGACTCGCAAGAAAATTAAGAGTTTGTCCAAACACTCCGTGGGGGCATGGCAAACAATCAACAATTAGGACGTGACTCATTTAGGTGAAGTACACCCCTATCACGGGACTTCCCATTGAACATCATTGACAATGGAAGAGGGCACCCACACCAGCTGGCTGCAATGGTGGCTCCGCCGGTGCAAGGAATGTTGTCCGTGGTGCAAGCGGCTACGCAAGCGAAAAAAGAAAAACAAAAACATGTTGTGCCGTCTGCTTCTGGGCATGTGCCGTTCTAGGCAGGACGCACCCTGCTGCAAAGACTTATTCAATATGATTCAATCTGAAAGGGGTGCAACCGTGAAGCTCGAAGAAACCGAGACCTCAAGACAGGTAATTGATTGGTGGCACTTGACTCACAGGCCATCAGTGAAGACAACGAGGGTTACAAGTGCACTCAAGTCCGCCATCATTGAAAGTTACATTTAGTATACCCATTGAGATCTATCAAAATCCATCAGGTAATTGTATAGTTAAACTGTTTGTGCATCATAATGTCTATACTATGTAATTAAACAATATTGAGCATATGCAACACCAAAGAAAACATGAATAAATATCTATAACTGCGCATGCAGTATGTAACATGTTGTATTATGTGTATGGTTAATATAGCTACTCCCGCATGGTGTTGAAACGACTGGGGCTCCACGCTCGGAAGACCACGCGGGAGTCGGCGGGGTTCCGACAGGGGCGGACTTGCCAAAAGCCCGAGGCCTAGCAAACTGCTGCTCGTCCGCCCCTGTGATAGACACGTTTTAAACATATTGAAACAAATAAATGCGGAAAAACGTGTGTTTGTGTTGCATGTTGTATAACCTCGATCTGTGCAAAGCAAAAGCCAATTGCAGGGCAGGGCCCACCCAGAACTTCATGTCAAGAAAGAACATCAGAAAACTCTCCAACAGAACCGTGATATCTGCGATGGCGATGAGTGCATTTTCGGGCCAACAGTAGTGTTGTGGGGGCACACCCCCACGAAACGCTGCAAATCCCGTGATTTTGTGCAAGGCACTGGCGATGTGGGCGAATGGCCTGCTGTCCCCCGCACAGGTCAGGCTTGCTTGAACCTAACACCTTGGAAAAGGCCTTGTTCGTCCGTTTGAGTTCCTACCAGCCCCCCAAATAATAGAAACTCACCAACGTGAATGTGGAGCAAAAAGACATCATTTGTAAAAGGAGGGGAAAGAGACAACTCCAACAAACAGGTGTGCTTCACCCTGAAACACCCTTTATATCCCTTTTTCCAGCTGAAAGTGGCTCTTCATGTGTCGCGTCTTCGACTCGGACCGGACCATGGGACCCCGGGTCCCGCCTCCCGGAGCACAAGGCCCGTGGCGGCTGGGTCGATGTCGAAGCTGATGCGGCCGCAGGAGGGTTCTAAGTGATGCACCTCAAGCTGTCGAGGGCTCACAGGATCGGACGCAACATGTGGCGAGAGATGGCAGATGGCACAGTGGTTTTCACAGATGGCATTGGCACAAGCCCCAAGATGCCAACAACTGAGGGTCCTTATAAACCCAACTTGGGGTAACTTGTGCCATCTACTCTGAAAGCAACAGATTCAATGATCTCTTGAGGTACAAACATGTGGTGTCTATGGCTCAAAGATCTGGAAGCCCGGAGAAAAACAAACACAATGAATCAGGTCTGAACTGGGGAAAAACGATTAAAACATACTCTCAGCACTACATGTTCACGGGTGCTGTAGCATGATGGGATCCGTGTCACATGTCCATCTGCATGTTCACGGTTCTGACTGCAGTTTTGAGTTGCACACATAGCGGCAGCTATATAATCGACATCTCACCACAACCAAGCCACAGGACATCTCACACCAAACCGGACAGTCATCCAACAAGCTTGCTGCTGTCTCACATGCTTGTGGGTTCACAACTTGCATCTCTGCCAGCTTGAGGCTTTCTTTGTCATAGCAAAGGCCAAGGAGCTGTAGGGACCTCCAGCCAAAGCTTCCTCGCCGCGCGACCGTGGCGACGAGGTCCCCCGGCGACGGCTCGGCGAAGGCTCCACGAGAACTCGCGCGAAACTCGCCCTTCGACGACGGCCGATGGGTCGAAGGAACTGCCCCGAAGGTCGCCCAGTGCGGGAACGATCACCTGCATCCGCACCCGGCTCCGGTCAGTAGGAACTCCGTCAGCCGATCTGCTAACGTCGGTGTGTGGAGATCGGTATTGACAGGATGAAATGAGGAAGCAAAGTCCCGCCGTGACTTCATGTGGAGTGACTTAGACTTGCCCTCTTTGTGCACATGCTTTTGTTTCAGACATGATCCACCAACAACCCTATGAGACTAGAGATTTATCTGACGCTCAACAGCCTAAGGGAACTGGGGAGGGCCAGCGGAAACTCGTGTTTCTTCTTGCAAGCCTGTTGAACACCTGGGGCAAAGGAACTCATGCCGCGCATTTACCAGCACCATCCGCTGCGCTGCACGTTTGCTTGCTCATCCTTGATCCAAGGTGCGTGATCCGATAGCTGCACCGTGCTGATTGGCACGTTGAGCTGAGCCCATCACGCTCCAGCACTTCAGCAGCCCGAATGGCGGAGATCATTTCTGGGTAGCGCCTCGTGGAAAGTGAAGCTGGATGCTGAGCAGTACGTACCCAAACATTCCATAGGACTGGGATATGAAATGATATGATATACCTGGAGTCTCAAAATTCGTCTAGAAAATGGGTACAAGTAGCTGTTTCTAGGGTCATATCCCACTTTGGTAGTATTTTGGAGGGTCCAAGTGTGTGAAATATGTTGTATTACAATAAATTATATGCGTGCATCTGCCGCCCCATTGACCCTGGGTCAAGCACCCGAACTGATCGGTCAAGTCGTGCCAGTCCGGACTCCGACATCGGACTCAGCTGTCAGTCTGTGTCTCACTAAAAATTGGTCTTGAGCTGCTTCTTTGCTGACCAGTTATTATACTTATAGCATCGGCCAAGATGTGGCTCATGAAGCAGGACGGGGGCCCCAAAACGCACCAAATGCCAAGCCCCTGTGCCATCCAGTTGGAGGAGTTCATATATGTTCATATGGGTTCGGTCTCTGCCAAGCTGCTGGAAGTCCCTGAGGCAGCTGAAGACCAGGTCATGAGGCGCAGCCACATTGATCCGGACCAAGCCCCAGCCTGGCTACTTGGAGTTGCGACTTCCGAGAACCGGGAGCATGACGACACTCTTTTCCCCAGTTCTGGGGGATGAAACATGGACCTCACCCGGATGGCAAAACCAAGGGAGATGAGGGTCTTTGGGCTGCAGATGTGCACGGTTGATTCAGAACCCCCACACGGATGGAGATGTAAAACAATGTTAAAACCAAACAAGTAAATCAACGGACCTACAAATGGATCACATGAGTGCCCGTGACTTCTCCAGTGGCAAAGGAGCTGTGTGGCACATCAATACACAATCCCAGTTTCCGTGCATACGCGTTCACCAGCCAGTGTGTTCACGTCTGTCAGGAGTCTTTGGAAGTCATGTGCGCAAGCAAGGAGATTAAAAGGCCGGAGTGCTGGTGGCCATGGATTCTTGATGATTCTTGGGAGTTGCCAAACAGGCTTTCGAACATGGTCTTCTTTCACTTTCTGTTCAGTCTTTGCCATCTCTACACTGCGACTTTCAGGCCACACAACTTTCTGGCAAACTTTTGGAGGGTGGACTCCAAGCTTTTATCTGATCTAGGCAAACCCAGCTGGTCCCCACCTTGCTTGCCGATGCGCCTCAGCCAAAACACCAGCGAAGAGGAGGTGCAAATACTCCCGTCCAACGCCCAAACACACCCACCTGTGTACCCACAACACGCACACCCACACACATATGTCGACATTGAATTCATACTGTAACATACATGGCTCCAATGGTATGTCCGGGTTTTTGTTCGACACGGTGTTCCATCCGCAGCAGCTTTTGGTCCAAGGAACGCCTGCTTTTGCACTCGGCCCTCCTCGCGCAAGTGCTGCAGCTCCTGCACCGTCAAGTCCCACAGCTGCCTGAGATCGGCTGCACCAAATTGAGTGCAGGGCCATAAAGAGAGGCTACAAAGGTTCCAAGTCCACATCCCTGCCTTGGAAGCGCCTCCTTGATGATTGAAAGGGCAAGTCCCAGGGTGACATGAGGGGTTCCCTGCGTGCCGGCGTGCCTGCGGCGTACACATCTCTATCACGCTGAGTGATTGCTCAGCCATAACTCGACACATCCTCAACTGACTGGTGCTTAGCAGGGAATGAGGGAATGGATCCAATAGGATCTCTATTGGGGGATCCATTCCCTCATTCCCTGCTAAGCACCAGTCAGACGATGTGGTGCAGGATCTTCCGCTGGTTTGTTCCTGTCCTTCGGACGTCAAACGAGATCATGGGAGTCATGGAGTCATACTCCGACGAGTCATCGGACCGGTGGGTGTCCGGAAGCGGTGGGCAGGTGCACCTGTGTCATCCCAAAATCAACTTTGGGGTGGGTTTTATAGGGTCCAAACACCGAGGAGCAACTTGGAGGTGTAGGGTATACAACCCAGTAGTTTTCAGGTTTCGTCTTAATGTTCCGCAGCGTACCCATTCGATTTGGGCTGCGGCTTTGTAAGGCGAACATGTTCACGGGCAAACAGCACTTCGCTATGTAAGGCCGCTCAAAAACATGAAAAAACTGGAAGTTGGATGACATTGGTCTTTAAAAAACCACTATCATGGTATTATGAATCATAGTATCCAAATAGCATATACTGCATTAAAGGTTCACAATGGATGATTTTTGTTATTATCTTATTGTCAAACCCCAGTGTGCAGGCATGCTGCTCGAAACATCTCTAAACATGCTTGTAATTGTCAATTTTGTTCCAACCCCAAGCAAGGGAATTGGTCCGCCAGTCCGGAAGCTCATGTCCTGCCAGTCGCCGCAGGACATGACCTCCGCGAGTCAGGAAATGACATGAAAAGAACAATATACATCTACTAGGACCCTCCAACAGGCTGTTTGGAGACCCTAACAGGTGGTTTCTGGGCACCTGTTGTCACCAGGAAGCACCTGTTGGAGGGTTCTTGGTACATAAATCATGCTAAATCCAGACCCTTCATTCCTTCATGCATGTCGATGCTTTTCTTGAAATTGGAGACCCCGGGCCCAGCGGTTTCGAAGCCCAGCGGGGCACGGACCTTTCCAAGGAGCCTTGGAAATCTCGTGGCCTCCAACCAGGCATCACCCCTGCAGCGCATGGAGCAGTATATGGAACTGTGGAAGAGAAGCCCACTGGAGTCTGGTGAAACACTCTGACCGTCGGTCTCCCAAATCACACCCCCAAACCAATGCATGCTACGTTGGGTTCCTCTTCCTACATCTTCCTATCTCCCCCAGCCCTCCGCCACCTCAAGCTACCCAGCGAAGAGCGTTTCACAGCGGAAAGACGCCGCTTCCAAGCGAAGAGGAAAGCCACCTGGGAGACGGTGTTCGCCCTTCTTCCGGAAAGCTTCCCCTTTGGGGGGTTCATCATGTTTCATCTAGTTCATGACATGATCGAGAAAAAAACACACACACATCTCTCATCATGTTCTAGAGACTGAATTACGAGAATGTCCAGGACATGTCCCCCTTTCGAAGCGATCCAAAAGCAAAAATTGAAAATGGTTTCTACGATAGAGTGATTGAAGATTATATATAGTTCCCACCCACTTGCGGCTCATTTGGTCCAATGGATGCCTAGCAAACCTGCAAACCCGCCAAAAAATCTTTAAAAAAACCTGCGGCGGGATCCAAGAGGCCTCTGCTTAAGCCATTCTGGGCACCTATACTATGGTTCCTATGGTTCCTCTATCAGGAGCACTTGTCTTTGTAGGGGCAAGTGCACTCCAAACGTTCTGGGGTTGAAGTCTGGCGTGTGGGACTTGTCGCTGCAGAACACTGCCACCCAGTCACCCAGACTCGTCTGACGAGTGCAGTGCGGTCGCCTGGGGCAGAAGGGAACGGGCAGAAGGAAGTGGAGGAGTGCAGCATCTCATCTCAGTCCTTCGTGATTTCTGTCCGCCTCGTCTCTCGGTCCTTCCAAGTGGCTCCCAACCAGGTGAAAAACCAGGAGCCTCGGGACCCGCTCCATAAAAGCTGGTAGGTCTTTCCCCCCTTCGTCATCCATTCTCCTTTTCTGTGGAGCCAGGGGATGATTGCAAGGCCGGCGGCCTCTTGAACCGCTCCGATGATGGAGCGATGGTGGATGATGCTGAAAAAAACATATGGCGGTTGATCTAAATTCCTTTCATCTGGAAAGTGCCTCTTCGCGAAAAAAAGAATTACTTTCGCGAACCCCATGTTTAACTTTCGCGAACTTTCGCGAAGTAGGATCTTACATATTCAGAAGAAGTTCGGATACATGGGTATATATAGTAGTTAAAGGAAGACTCTGATTTCCTTCTGAGCTGGTGGTCTTGAAAAGATCACAGTAAGCAAACAAATAAGGGTCCCTTTACCTACAAATAACATACATGGTTACATGAACTTTCGCGAAAAAAAATACTACTTTCGCGAACCCTGTGTTTAACTTTCGCGATCTTTCGCCCGGTTGGTACTTAGTAACCGAAATGGCTGTTCCATATGAAACTCCTTTCATGGACCTTTAGATCGATGCCCATATCAACAAAACCTGCAACCCCACAACGACCCCAAGAAGCCCCTACAAAGCCAACAACAACAACCACAACGACAACCACAACCACACTGTAAGCTAGTTGTGGTTTTTTAGGCTCATTTTTGCACTGATTCATGGCTTGTGTCCAGTTCTCACCCCAAGCCTTCAGTTCTCACCAAGCCGCTGCGGTCCGGAAGGGCCCTTCTTCGGTCCAGCCCGTCGCGTAAGGCCGCTGTTCGTGCTCGCTGGCGCAACAAGCTGCATCCGGTCGAAGGAGTGGCTGGAAGCATAGGAAACCAGCACAGTGCAAGTACACTAACCCTAGGGCTCCAGTCGTACCTTGTAAGAAGGTGAGATTGGGGTGGGTTGAGAGAGTCCAGTCATACCGAACCTGAGGAGGTACGTGGAGCCATAGGGTAGTGAGTGCCAAACACCTGCGAGTGTAGTGGAACATTTCTTGGCGTGATGCAGCTGCAATTGTGGAGTCAAAGTCCTTCGAGTGCTTAAAATGAATCCAATTTTTCAAACATCCTGTGAGTTGTACAGTATTGCAAATGGTTTCCATCTGGCTGGGAGCTCTACGCTTGAAGCCCTTCAAAATCCTCAAATCCACGAACATAGAAACTTGTGGAGGTATGACTACAGCCCGGAGATGACAGTCTTTTGCAGCCAGAGAACCTTAAATTCCGTGAGTTGTTGCAGGTTTGTGCAGCCAGGAGCCAGAGACAAAAACATCAGCTGCCCAATGCCAGCGAAAGAGCTTCCGTTTCGGTCGGCTTCCATGAGAGCCAACTTGCAAACCCACACACACACATGATATGCCAAGAAACTTCTGGAAACTTTCCCTTCAAACATTTAGAAACTGATGAAACCTGTTGGGCGGTAGATGGGCGGTAGTGATGTTTAGTCAACACAAAGGACATTTGATTGACGATTGGTGGGCTTGGGGCGACACGATACAATATACAGTTGGTCACTGCGGCTTGTCTCCAAACAGTGGCCCTACACGATCCACATTTTTTTCTAAAGTGGGGCCTATAGTTGGCTCTCAGAGTTTGTTTCCAAAAGGTCCTGGTGTCAACTAGGTAACGGTTCCCCAGGAAAAAAAATGTTTAATCCATAATGTTTGCAGCACAAGGGGAGTTCAAGAATATGCTTTCGGTCCCAGCTCTCGCCCAAACAAGAACCCCCTCTTTTTGTGGTGTCAAAATAGATCCCCAAATCACCGACAACTGTGGAGAGAGCATGGAAGTTTGGGAGATTCATACTGGTATATGATCATATACGAAATGTATACACTTCAAATAAAATGTGCCATAAGGGGAGCGTCTGGTGTGGCACCTTTTTGTACATATTCATGGATGTTTGATGTTCAATGATTTTCCTCATCTGTTGTCACCCGTGTGAAGAAACAGCAAATCCCCCCGGCGCATGACTTTATATCTTCCACGTTCTCACACCTACGATGCAGGCATGGCAAGCACCGTGTCTCTTTGAGACAGGTGACAAAAATTATGATGCAGAAGCTTTGAGGTATCACGAGGCATCGAAAATGACTTCCTGTCTATTGCTAGTATGAATTCTGATGGTTGTCAAACAAATGACAAATAGACAATTCTTGAACATTCTTGAACATATAAATTGGCAGCTAGCTCCAATGACAAGAATCCGTTTTTCCCTTCAAGCATGGCGAACCCTCTGTAATGAGCCCTGTACACCATCATTACGAAGTCATTGGAATTTTTGCAGGCGGCAAATGGCAAAGAGGGATGTTGATGAAGCTTTGTTTGATACTTATCAATACAGTATATTGAAAACGCATCAATATGTCGCTCTGTGTCACGAATATCGACGCCCCCTTCAGCTTCTGCGCTTCAGGGTGGACATGCTGGTGTTTTTGAACACCCTCGTTCACCCACGTGCTCTGAGAAAAAAACAAAAACGTGAGACCAAATCATGGGCATAGAAGTTGGCAAGTGTAAACCAATGCTTTGGCTACCCGTGCCAGTGGTTTGCTATTTCCAATGAGCACTGGCCAAAACAACACAAATTAGACACATAATGTTCTCTGATTTGTTCCAACCAACTCCGCAGCCCGACCGGCTGCGAAAAGTACTGCGGGAATCCCGCACAAAAAAACACCCATCCAGTGGGGGTTCTGGCGGGCATGGCGCTTTGTCCATCATTCTATCGTGGATTTTGCGGATTGGACATAGCCCAGCACTTCCTTCTTGCTGACTGAGATTGGAAATGTCTCCTGCACATGGAAATGATTGCTTGAAATCCTTTGGTCCAACACCCCAAAGAATCGGATGTGGCACCCGCCATTAGAATCAGGTAGCTGATCAGCTGCTTTGGGGCTCCCCAATGAACAAACACTTGATTACTGCACCAAAGGAAAGGAGGCGAACTGTTGATGTTCTACGCGTTCCACGGATCACTACGCATCGATTCTGGTCACCAGATTGGATTTCTGACGCCTTCCCAAATTGTGAAGGACGTGCCGAGACAAAAGCCAACCAGGGCAACTGACCACCACTGACAATGATTTATACTATGATACTGCACTTGCTAGGCAAATGTCTCTTGAAACTAAATCAAAGACAAAAACAAATCAAAGTGTGGTTCCGTTCTCCTAGAAACATGCATGTCCACAAACTATGTGCGCCTGACATGCTGTGTTTCCCATTCACCGGGAGAATGCTTACTTTTCTAGTCGTGAGTTCGTCAAGGCAACCGGGAGAGCTTCTGGGTTTAGAGAATTAAACGGTGACGATGGCTTACCCTTCACCACTGATGCTATGTTCAATGTGAGACAGCATACGTTCTAATTATATATATACATAATACTGGTGCACACAGTTCAAACAAGATTCAATACAATATATACATACACTCTGACTCACTAACACGGAAGTGGAACATGGCCCTTGGAAGATTATTTTCTTTTGCAATCTGGGGATTCTCCACTTCCATGTTCGTGAGTCGGAGTGTAGCTGTTAGTGCTAACAGGGAATTGTTGCTCAGCACGACTGTGGGGTGTATACACTCATAAGCAGTGCTGTCGTATGCCGTAGCTACAAGTTCCAGCAATGAAAGGAACAATACCCAGACACTCCATGTATGCCATATATGCCTACATTGACCCCCCAAACCACGCTAATGTAGGCACATATGGCATACATGGAGTGCCTGGGATAGGGATTCAAAGGCTATCAACTTGGGCCCGTCAAACCGGCCACGACGCCAGCACATCATCTGTCACGTGTTCTGTGGCTGCATACCACATCTATCAGGTGCATCTGTATCCAGCTCTTAGCGGTCTCTTGCGACGGAGCCCTGCCCCACACGATGTTTTGAACAAACTCTTGCCGTCAGGCAGCTCTTCCCATCGTTTTAGCAGCCCTGCTCCAGGTTTTAAGCAGCTCTTCCCATCTGTCACTGGGTCGTCAGGCCTGGTCATCTTCCAGCCATGCTCAGACTCGGGACGTCACCGTCCCGCCGCCTGGTGCAGTGGATGTCCAGGGTACCATGAAGTGGCTGGGGTAGACTTTTCTTTTCGACTTTTCGATGCGCACAGTGCCTGTCGGCGCAGCGCCTTGCTGCAAATTCTACGAATTAGAATGCAAAATCTGGCCCAAAGCTTGTCACCGCATCGTCCTCATGGACTATCAAGTCCTGGAGCCATGATGCTTCGTGATTAAAATCTCTGGGCTCCCGGTCCTTATGGCGGATCAGCCATGTTTGGAATAACCTAGCGATGTAGTTGCACAAAGCATTGGGGTATTCCTTGAGTCTGCTGGTCCGCCATTGGCCGTTCTCACGCCCTATGCTCACATTCGCTGGCATAGGAGTCGTGCGTGACACCTTCTCCAGGTCTGCTGCACATTGGCAGTTGACTCCGGTGATCAAAAATGTTGTCGGTTTCGGGCTAGGTGCTCCATAGAAGCCCTGGCTCACGTCCTGCTGGAAGAACCAGCCGGTCGCTAGCAGCCATTGGATGACGGCTGACCGCCAAATGCTCGCTGCATGTGCCTTGTTCTTCATGTAGGCTGCAGGACTACGTGGATGCTCCATCAAGGCAAACCCACCTGTGTATGCCTGCAGAAAACAAACAGAAAGAGTGAAGCCCATGAGTGTATTGGCTGTGTCCAGCTGTCTAAACTCTCTGGCAGTCAAATCACATTGGCCCCAGAGTTCCTGAAAGCTCCTTAGTGGTCTGGGAGGCCGCTTGCATGTGCCATCTTCTACTGCCGTTTCACGCGCGACAGACCATGTTTCACATGGCGGGCCGGCACATAGGCCTGCGATGACCCCATCGCGCGCTAACTGGAGCCATCTTTTTTGTTGGTCAGGTGTCATCAAGTCGCATTTTTCTCTGGATACGACTATATCAACAGAGATCACAAGCATCTGGCAACCTGCGGGGACAACCAGATTCTCTAAGGCGGTTTGGATGTCGCCTTTTCTCCTCCGGCCACTAAATAAGTGTAAAAACACAATTTGCGTAGGCATGAAGGAACGAATGCTCATCGGCTTTGCTCGGACCAGGACTGTTTGCCTGATCTTTTCAGTGGCACAAACATGGACTTGTCTGAGGTCATTTGCACACTGCCCCGGCCGTTCTTGCAACCATTGCAAAACTCGGTGCAGGGTATCTCTCAGCTGGAGGTCGGTGGTCGTGAGATATTGGTTGCACCAGTCACGAAACCCTGTTAGAAGGTCAGGGTAGTGCATGGGACGTGTACAAACAGTAATGAACCTGTCGTACAACCTATTGTAAAAGTCCGGTGTTTCGACATCCACTTCAAATTTGTGCAATGCTTCATCTAAGTCCGTGCAAAAGCGTTGTAAATCTCTGTGCATGGCCTGCTCTGCCCTAATCGGCCCTTCTCCGGTATATCGCCAAGCAGCCTGAGGACGCACTTGTGGTGCATGGACTGACTGCTGCCTTCTAGCCCAAAGCCAGGCGCAACAATTCGGGCTGTACCTCAGATGCGCAAGCAGGGCCGTTTGGTGTGGGTAGCATTTGGCACAGCAATGGCATACTGTCCCTTGAGCTGCTTCGCCGTGCATGGTCTGATAATTATGCTTCTGGCTGGTGTGTAGAAACCAGCCTTTTTTCGTGGTAAAGGCTCTCTGGCAAATCAAGCATAAGTTGGATGATCTTGTCAGGTCTTCTTGGAGGGCCATCAGACCTGCGCTCTCCATTGCTATATAGATTTGCTTGTGCCAAAGATAGACTCTGGCTTGAACCTTATGCCATTGCCTGGACCTCTTGAGGGCCCGTTTTATGGCAGCTCTCCATATCCCGGGATTGCAATGCAGAAAGTCAGTCATGTCATCTGCTCCGCTC